GGACGAGGAAAGTGAAAAGTGAATTTAAAAAAACAAAAAGTTGGCTTTCATTGGCAGGGGAATTGAGCTTAAGGGCCGTGAGGTTATGCTGCAGCTCTATAGAACTCTGGTTAGACCACACTTGGAATATTGTGTTCCGTTCTGGTCACCATGTTATAGGAAGGATGTGGAAGCTTTAGAGAGGGTGCAGAGGAGATTTACCAGGATGCTGCCTGGACTGGAGGGCAGGTCTTATGGGGAAAAGTTGAGGGAGCTAGGGCTTTTTTCATTGGAGCGAAGAAAGTTGAGAGGTGACTTGATAGAGGTGTACAAGATGATGAGAGGCATAGATAAGGTGGATAGCCAGAGACTTTTTCCCAGGGTGGAAATGACAATTACGCGGGGCCATAATTTTAATGTGTTTGGAGGAAGGTATAGGGGAGATGTCAGAGGTAGGTTCTTTACACAGAGAGTGGTGGGCATGTGGAATGCGCTGCCAGCAGTGGTAGTGGATTCAGATACTTTAGTGACTTTTAAACGACTCTTGGATAGGCACATGGAAGATAGTAAAATGTAGGGTATGCAGGGTAGTTTGATCCTTGAGTAGGATAATAGGTCGGTATAACATCGTGGGCCGAAGGGCCTGTACTGTGCTGTCCTGTTCTATGTTCTATGTTCTTAATTACTTATACTCGAGGGAAGCAATAGGAGTTAGTCGACGAAACTTGCCTTTGTAATTTAACCATTTACAACTTTATTCAAAATAAAACAAAATCAGAAGTTGCTGGAAAAGCTCAGCAGCTCTGGCAGCATTTGTGGTGAGAAATCAGAGTTAATGTTTCAGGTTGCGTGACCCTTTCTCCGACTCAGTTTTGAGGAAGGGTCACCGGGCCCGAAATGTTAACTCAGATTTCTCTTCACAGATGCTGCCAGACCTGCTGACCTTTTCCAGCAACTTCTGTTTTTGTTCGTGATTTACAGCATCCGCAGTTCTTTTGGTTTTCATTAAAAAAAGGTCTGTTTCTGAAATAGGTATTAATTTAGACGGTAAAAAAGCCATTAAATCATAACACTAATTGCAGAGACTGGGCAGTAATCTCTAACTGTTCCAGTTTTATTTTTGAAGGCTGTTCTATTTTTGTTCAGGTATTTTTGAGGTGTTGTTGTAATTTCTTTAATGTAAATTAGTTCTCCATTTACTGCACAGCTGTGAATAGACAGCAATTTCCTTCCTAAATCGGTTAATACCACAATCGTAGAGTGCCCTTTCGTTTGTGTTTTTAAGCCTTTGGCTGCAGACAAAAAGCTTGGAGAGTGTTTAAAGATCGCACAGCAGCGTTTCTGGAAAATAAACAGCAGATGAGCTGCCAGGAGGCTGGGCATGTGATAGGAAATCAGCAATCACAGTGAGTGAGTGGGTAAGTGAAAAAGCCCTGAGGGAAATGCTCAGTAAAGGCAGCAGCTGGCAAAACACAAAGGGAGTGGCTCAGTCAGCCAGTGACTGTGTTTTAAACCACAGTTTAAGAGGCCTGCTCAATTCGAACTGCAACCACAGCCTGCTGATCATCCTCAGTTCCCCAGGTACAATTCTTACTGAACTGTAAAGGTTGCAGCCCTAGCCTAGATGTAGCTGAGTCTATGAGTATTCAGCATATGTCAGAGAGAGAGAGAGACAGGATTCAGTGATTACCCTGGTTTACAGGCCTCAGTGAATTATTTTAAAGTCTATATCAGCAGAGCCTGTTGACAGCTCATGCCCAGTAATAGGAAGCAAATGCTGTCTCTGTGTGAGCGTGTGTGTGTACATTTATCCTGCAGCAAATCCTCAGCATCGCCAGGTTTGGAAATAAACAGAAAATCTCCAAGATGCAAACGGGTTAACGGCTGTACAGTTGTAGTGGTGAGAGGGAGGTTGTGGTTGGAAATGAGGGGTACTGTGTCTGAGAGGGAGGGCAGGGTCAGGGGCTGTATTGTGAGAGCGCTGTAGGATCACAGGGGTTGTAGTGTGAGAGAGTGGTGAGGGACAGGCTCCTGGAGGGTGTGGGGGTTATGAGTTGATTAGGGGATGTGGAGGGAGAGTGTTGGTGGGACTGCAGGGATGAGAGGAAGTCTCCTGTTCCAGGGCCTCACTGTGCTCTGTAAGAGACTAGGGATGGGCAATGCTGGCTCAACCCTTAATGCTAACATGTCAAGAATGAATTTAAGAAAACTAAGAGGCTGTCCTTCTAAGTGGCACTGTTTCAATAAAAAAAGGCACAGTCCAGATAAAGCTGCAACAGAGAAAGACTGAACATATTGACAGAGAAAGAGGGGCAAGTGAGAAGTTATTTCGCACAGCAGGTTATTGTGGCTTTGAACATGCGTCTGGAAAAAGCAATGGAAATCAATTTGAAATTTTAATAAGGAATTAAATAAATACTTGAAAAGGGGAAGTCGACAGGGAGTCGAGGAAAAGGGTATGGGAATTGGGAGTAATTAGGTAGCTCTTTGAAAGAGCTGGCACAGCCACAATGGGCTGAATGGCCTCCTGGGTTACTGAAAGCATGGACTTGAAATGAATGGAACTCGAAAGCCAGGCCTTTGTAGAAGTTGGAGTGGGGATGAGAGGGTGGGTGTGCATGGTGAGAGATTCTGTGTCAATCTTGCAGGGTCCGGGGGAGGTGGTAATGTGGTCCCACATCTTCCTGTTGGCCTTGCCAATAATGTCCCCTCAAAACCACACGCCTATACACCAACCAGAAAGATCCCACGCAATTTACATGCATCTTGACCCTTGTGTGCAGCCTTACAAAAATCTAAAGGGAACCTCTTGGGTAAATTGGCCATGTGCGCAGAAAATGTAGATGCCAATTCTCCAGGAATATCCAGCGATTTCCTAGAATTGAAAACTAGTCTCTAGGGTAATTTTGAATAATCGTTAAATATTTAAATAAAATTGTCTTCATATCATTTTCTTGGACCAATTTATCTGGGGTATTGGATGCCTAACAAAGTTTTATTTCACTGGGATTCAAGATAGATCCAACTTTGGGGATAACAGTCTGATTCCAGTTGGGGGATGGGTTAAGAATGACCAAGAGGATGGACAAATAGCAGGAGTGGGCCGGTTCAAGGTGAAAGGTCATGAAGACATAAGAATACCCCAAAGAGATTCCCCAGAGACAGTGACCTCTGGAGGGGAGGCAAGATCTAAGACAGGTGAGGTTCACTCTTTTCCCAAAGAAGGGGCAGAGCTCAGAGAAAGCTGATTGCTGGCGAACAATCATTGCAGAGACTAGTAACATGGCAGCCCCATATACTCGACATTAACTGTGGCAGAGACACTGTCTCTTCACATGGGTATCATGATCTCGTCGAATGGCAGACCAGACTCGAAGGGCTGAATGGCCTGATTCCATTCCTGTGCCTTATAGTTTATGGGAACAGGAGAGCGGGAGATGGGGAGTAAAGGAAGACAAGTTGACTGACGGTGTGGCTGAAGAGATGGAAGTCGAGGGAGTGGGTAAGAAGCGGGCTGGGGACGAGGCTGGGTGAGTAGTACACGGACAATGGCAGGTGAATGATGGCTGGAGACCATGCCACTTATTGGAGGTCAGTGAAGCGTATGTGGTACACAGGCAGATCACAGGATGTGAACTCTATTTGATAATCAGATTTTACAGCGAAAGCACTCTTACCTCAGAGTCACAAGGTTGTGGCTTCAAGTCCCGAGTAAGAGATTTGAACCCAAAGGCTGTTTCTCCCGGTGCAGTACTAAAGGAGAGCAACACTGTCAGAAGTGCCATCATTAGGTTCAGATTTTAAACTTGGACCCTCTGGGCTTGATGTAAATGATAGTATTTTAAAGGAAAGCATGGATGTTCTCCCTCGCGGCCTGGCTAATGTTTATCACCCAATTAAGAACATAAGTACCAAGATCAGAAGTAGGCCATTCAGACCCTCGAGCCTGCTCTACCATTTAATATGATCATAGCTGAGCTCACCTCCGCCTCAACTTTACTGCCTGCTCTCCATAAACCTTCAACCAATTGCTGAATTAAAATCTGTCTACTTTGTCCTTAAATTTACTCAATGCCCCAACATCCACCGTACCCTAGGATAGTGAATTCCACAGATTCACAACTCTTTGAGTGAAGAAATTTTTCCACTTCTGTTTTTCAGTCTGCTAGCCCTTATCCTGAAACATCACAAAAAGAGAGAGCTTTTCATTAGGAGATGCACATTTGTCTACTTTTTTTTTGTCTTTTTGACACTTTGAAGAGAACCCTTTCCAATCCCAGCATTACCATTCCCAATTCCAGCCAGTCCCAGCATTATCATTCCTAACAATAACAAAAACTTCCATTTAATAACGTGAGAGTTTAGTGAACTCAGAACGACTCAATGTATTTTATGGAATTCCCTCCTCTGCTGGTCTGTACATCTCCCTGCCTTAGCTCACCCTCTTCCCTCCACTCCCATCACAGCATCCAGCCATGTCTCCATCAGGATACTGCCATTTTGACCAGGAACTGGCCTCTTTACCCCACTCTCCCTGTGAACTCTAACCCCCTTCCTATTTGATCTTTCCAAACCACCTTTCAAACCTCAACCAACCTGCGCCTCGTCACCACTTGGCCCTGAGGTATTTTTACAGGGTACGCAGTGTTTTAATGCAGGAAATGCAGTGAGCACAGCCAGCTCCCACAAACAGCAATGTGATAATGACCCAGATGGTTGTCTCATTTTGACAGTTGAGGGCCACATGATGGTCAGACCCCAGGGAGAATTCACCAGCTCTTCCTCCAAACATTATAAAGGACCTTTTATCCCCATCTTAAAACTCCCGATGAATGCCTCATCCAAGAGCTGACAGCTCAGACAGTGCTGCACTCCCCCTGTACTGCCCTGGCTGGATTATATCTGAAACCTGTGCAGTGTAATTTCTGCCTGAGTGGTGAGAGAGCTACACACTCTGCCGCATTCGTCACCGTCTCCCTTCTGTCTTTGATTAAACCAAACGTCTCTGCCTTTGTCGACAGCATATTAACTCGATCACCATGTCGGCAGAAGGGGCCCAGGTCGTGGCAAAGGTCAACAGCAGCATCAATATCCTCAGTGCAGCAGAGGAGGTGAAGGCAGACCTGGAGATGATCATGAAGCCCTATGCCAACTGGGAAGAGTTCCTGACACCAGGTCCTCTGTCCATCGCCATTCTAGGGGAGCTGATATTCATTTCTGCAGCCGAGGCCTTCCAAGTGAATCTCAACGTGTCTGGGAAAACATTTCGCTTCCTACAGTACCCAGGGTCCTTCCACGCCTGCCTGATGCAGGTGAGTGACCAAGGATGGAAAGCCTTTAACAAAGCTCACAGGAATATGGACCAGATCCGGCTCTACTCCATGTTGGCTCCGAAGCATCTGGCCAGCGCTGTGCAGGTGCTGAGCCGCCAGGACCCGAAGGTGGTCAAGGCCATGCTGCCCAGCCGACTCAACAGCATCCGAAAGGTGTCAGAGCAGTGCCAGCAGCTGGCAGTGTCCGTCGAGGAAGAGTTCACCTCGCTCATCGAGCTGGTGCAGGAACTGCTGGAATTCTGTGCCAGCTCCCGTACGGAGCACCATGCATCCCTGGAGCAGGTCAAGCAGACACTGGCAGAGTCCCAGTTCCGGAAGGAGGCAGCAGAGAAGGAAAAGCAGAGGGTGGAGGCGCAGTTCAGCGACATGTGCGTCAAGATGGAGGAGGCCCGTGCCGTGTATCGAAAGGCAATGAGGATGATCCCGACCGGGAAGAACCTGGTTGGGATCTACGTCACTCAGTCCCTGCTTGACTTGACAAACAGCCTGGCTACAGAGCTGGTGACGATGGGCATGACCGAGCCCCTGAGCCTGGCCCTTGAAATCAGTGAGACAGCAGCACGTCACATCAAGAAGAAGGTGCAGAAAAAGAAGGCACCAGGCTCCACAGATGAAGACGAGGACGAAGGTGAGAGCTTGGGGCAATCAACCAGTGTCTACCTGAAAGGGATGGAGATGGTGATGGCCAGCGCCCTCTTACAGGACCTCGTCTCGGAAAAGGGGACCATCGACACCAGCAAGTTGCCCAGCGACAGCTCACAGAGTGGCAACTCCATGGACTGCAAGCTCATGTTTCAGAGCAGCCTGAGCAAGATCGAACAGGAAGGGGACTGCAGAGCCAAGAAAGCAGCGGTGAAGCTGTGCGAGGACGGGGTCACAATGTGCGAGAAGCTGGAGGAGGTTGCCAAAATAGAGAAGCCCAGTGAGGCCCAGTTGGAAAGCCTTGCCACAGCCATCAAGGAGCAGAACGCCAATGTTCTCAAGTACCTTTCAGACATCAAAAGATCCACTAACACCCCAGCCTTTGCTCCTCAACCACCAAATCTCACTCAAGCTGCCAACCTGGAGAAGGTAGAAGAAGGTCTTTCCAAAATGGTTCTTGATCAAGCCTGCTTTAAGGTAGAACAAGCAAAAACCCAACTGGATTCAACCAGAGAAGAGTACCAGAAAATGTCTGAGACAAAAGAGAAGGTGACTAAGGAGCTCGATGAGATCTTGATCACTATGATGAGGTGTCAAGTGAAGGAGATAGACTATGACACAACTCTCAAGCTGCTTGTGATTGGCCTGGATGCACTGAGCCAGGTCAAAGAGCAGTGGGCCAAGATGAGCAACTTCTTCCAAATGATGGCCAATCTGATTCAGGTCTCTCTCACTGACACTGTCACACAGTTCACCAGTGACAGCGAGGCTTACGAGCCATTCCCAGGATATTCTGAAGATGCTTTTGTCAAGGACATGATCTACACAGAAGCCTTTCAGGCTTGCAACATTGCCAACCTCTGCCACATGATCTCAGGGACTTATGTCGAGATCTCTCAGAAGCATCTCAGGGACCAAATCTCCAGTTTAGAGACAAACATCAATATGAAGCCCAATGATCCTATGTTTAATGTGAAGCGAAAACAACTTCAGGAAGGCTACATTGCCGCAAAGGAGGCAGTCAATCAACTGGTCATGAAGAACAAACGGGAATTTGAAATTCAAATACAACAGAGGATTGATAGCATCAACTCCACATTTAAAGGTGCCCTGCCTCTTACAGAGAGACAATAAGGCACAGTGTGCAAGAGCAGTTTGAAGGAAGACCCTGAGGTTCCTCTACCTGACCGAATGTTGCAGACAGCATGTGAATGTGCAGCTATTGTATGAAAATAATGCCCTAAATTTTCCTTGTTGTCCACTCCGAGAAAGGTTCTGCTGAAGTCTTAGTTCTGGTTAGAATGTATCCAGTCACCCATTCCCTCTCCCACCAGCTGATTGACATGGATTTGAGCAGTTCCATGGAAGGGATGTATTGGTTGGTCTCCTGACCAGGAGAGATTTATCCCTGGTTCACCATTCCGGATTGGCCTCTTTTTGTCTCCTGGGAAGAATCTGGGTTCTCTGTGCAGAGGAGGACCCAGTTCCCAGCAAATATCCATGAGGATACAAGTCGAGTGATTCTTCTCCTCCATGTCTTCTTTTCTTGATAGAAAATCTCAGTACCTATCCAAACAGGAAGGCTTGCTTTTCTACTGTGAATTCACAGATTCAACTAATGAGACTCAGTAGGCATGGTCAGCAACTGCTGTTCACGTGTAAACCACACACCATCCTGACTTGGATGTACACAGCCTTTCATTCACCTTTACAATATCGAAATCATAAACCTGCTGAAAATGAAGGCCACACTTGCATTTATCTAGCACTTATCATCAATACTCCAGAACCTTAGGGACTTATCATCACCATGAAGCATATGTCCCAGAGCTTCACAGTTGCTGTACTCTCTGCCCTTTGCGAAGGAAGATCTGCAGCTTATTTGTGCACATGCAGCTTGATAATCCGTTCTGGTGACGTTTGTTGAGGGATAAATGTTGGCCGGGAGATTGGAGAGTATTCCTTGTTCTTCTTCTTTAACCATTCCATGGGAATTTCTCTGTCCGATGGAGAGGCAGGGTATTGACTATCTATTGGGCATTGAGGAGACACCTTCATCACACCTAGCGGTTGAAGAAGGTGGCTCATCACTATCTTCATAAAACTAACTGCTGCTGGGAGATAAATGTCATCAGCATCCACTTCCCAAATAACAAATGAAGTTGAAATGTTGATCATCCTAGAAGTCAGGTAGTAAACTCAAAGTGAGTGTTCTGGAGTTTCATGTTCCTTAGATTGGCACTACAGTTACATATGGGAGCCAGAGTAAAGGCTGTCTCCAGATGTGAAAGGATTTAAAACTTTCCAAAATAATGTTATTTCTTCGAGATTTTCAAGGTTGCTTGAGCTGTGGTAACCAATTCCAGATGAACACAACCACACCCTCTGAAATGGGTGATTGAGTGTAAAGTCCCCATTGGGAATGACTTTCCAACATCTTTCAAACTTACACTGTCCTTGTTCAGGTATGATGTGGAGGTGCTGGTGTTGGACTGGTGTGGACCAAGTCAGAAATCACACGACACTACGTTATAGTCCAATGGGTTTATTTGAAATCACAAGCTTTCAGAGCATAGCCCCTTCGTCACCTGATGAAGGAGCAGCGCTCTGAAAGCCGTCATTTCAAATAAACCTGTTGGACAATAGCCTCGTGTTGTGTAACGTCTGACCTTCTGACACAGTTTTACATTCAGGTACAATTCACCATTGATGGACATAGGCTGAATGTTCACTCTCAATCAGGAGCCAATCCCTGAGCATGGGGCTGGGTCTGGCATCTCATGAATATGGGGTGAGGGCTATGTCCCACCACACAAACAGCGAGCAGTAGCAATCACACTGGGCAGGCAATGGGGCATTGAGTTTTCTGCCCATCCCCCATTTCCTAACACTGACAGGAAATGTTTACAGATGTCTAAATATTCCACCAATTTCACCCAATCCACCTCTGGTACAGCCCAGTGGGACCAATACTGACCGAAATCTGGCACAGCCCCTAAACTGCGTGGTTGCAAGGTGTTGGCTGGGATAATTCTTCATCAAAAATCTCTGGCCTGATTTCAGTTTAGATTAACATATTAAAAGTACACTTTCTGATCCCTGTTTCCTTTCCAAAAGAACCATGGTATCTTTGACATTCACCTGAGAGGGCAGGCAGGAACTTTTTTTTTTCAAATATCTCACATGGTCAGTTACCACGCTGCTGTTGCCAGCTACAGCTGAGAAAATGTGCAGTGAGGTGTGAAGGGCAGGGAGTTCAACTGGGAATGGAAAGGACAGCTAAAGTAGGAATGAGCACTGTCAATGTTTCACTCTGAGAAAATACCAACCTCATTGAGCTAATATTCACTGTGAACAGTTGGGAACTAGAAGGAGAGAGAATGGCAATATGTTACAAGGCTGGATTCCAATGTGTGAATTCTATCAGCTGTATTTCATGTATTCTGACAAAAAGGCAAAAAGATGTTTTAATAAATGATGATGAAAAGACTTTGGACAACTTAATGACAAAAAAAATGTCAACTTGAATGTTAATGTGGCTATCTTTTCGAACTGGTATTGTTCAGAAAGATCATATAGAATCCCTACAGTGTAGTGTGGAAGCAGGCCATTTGGCCCATCAAGTCCACACTGACCCTCTGAAGAGCATCTCACCTAGACCCACCCTATCCCTGTAACCCTGTATTTCCCAAGGCATAATCCATCCAACCCGAGGGTGGAATCAAACCCAGGTCCCTGGCACTGTGAGGCAATAGTGCTCAACACTGAGCCACCATGCTGCTGCTCAGAGAATGGTTTGCAATGACCGGGGGATATCAACAAAACAAAAAAAAAGTTTAGGGCTATTTTGCTGCCTGACCTGCTGTGTTCCGCAGCTCCACACTGTGTTGACATTAGGGTTATTTTTTTTTGATATCCCCTGGTTATTGTGAATCATTCTCTGGGGGATGGCACAGTGGCTGCACCTTGGTCATTCAGTCCCTGGCTCTTCTTGTCTCCCATTGGGAAGAGCATGGCCTTCATTGAGACAGTTTGACTGAGACCATGAGTCGGAATCCCTGGCTCACAAAACCCATCAGTTCTCATGGCACAGACCAGCACCACGTTTCTGTGGGGTGAGGGCTGAGAGGGAAAGTGTAGACCTGCTCCCCAATTGCTTTATTTCATTTGGGAATTTCCAGCACATTTGCTGAGAACCTTGAAAGAAAGTGCTCATAATTTTTGAGCGTTTGCTGGAGAATGATTGATCCCCATTATCAGTGACACACATCTCACCAACACAGCAGAGACAAGGCCTCTGTTCCAGCAACGTTTGGATATTTTCTAACCAACCTGTTCAGAGATGTTTTGCGCATCACTGGAGCAGATGGGACTTGAACCCGGGCCTCCTGGCCCAGGGGGAAGGACCTTACTGTTGTGCCACAAAAGCATCACCAGCAGTTTCTAAGCTCGTCCGCACGAGGTAATGATCACATGAATCCAGTGCAGTCACTTCCAAACAGTGGGCTTGTCTCATACATAGAGTCATCGAGCTGTACAGCATGGAAACAGTCCTTTCTGTCCAACTCATCCTTACTGACCAGATATTCTAAATTAATCCAGTCCCAATTGCCAGCATCTGGCCCATATCCCTCTAAACCCTACCTATTCATATACCCATCCAGTTGTCTTTTAAATGTTGTAATTGTACCAGCCTCCACCACTTCCTCTGGCAGCTCATTCCACACACGCAGCACCCTCTCTGTGAAAAAGTTGCCCCTTAGTTCCCTTATAAATCTTTCCCCTCTCACCTTAAACCTATGCCCTCTAGATTTGGACTTCATTACCCCTGGGGAAAAGACCTTGACTATTCATCCCATCTATGACCCTCATGATTTTATAAACTTCTATAAGGTTATCCCTCAGCCTCCGACACTCCATGGAAAATAGCCCCAGCCTATTCAGCCCTTCCCTATACTTGAAATCCTCCAACCCTGGCAGCATCCTTGTAAATCTTTTCTGAACGCTTTCCAGTTTAACAACATCCTTCCTATGGCAGGGAGACGAGAATTACATGCAGTATTCCAAAAGTGGCCTATCCAATGTCCTTTACAGCTACAACATGACCTCCCAATTCCTGTACTCGATGCACTGACCAATAAAGGCAAGCACACCAAATGCCTTCTTCGCTGTCCTGTCTCCACTTTCAAGGAACTCCACTTTCAAGGAACTATGAACTTGCACTCCAAGGTCTCTTTGTTCAGCAACACTCTCCAGGACCTCACCATTAATTGTATTAGTTTTACCCTGATTTGCCTTTCCCAAAAGCAGCACCTCACATTTATCTAAATGCTCCACATTGGATGTCTGTTGCCCTATTCCATCATATTCCGAATGATTCAAAGGTTGTGGTAGATACACTTCACCCCTCAAACAGTCCGAATGAAGTCACTGGCAAACACAGAAGGCCAGAAATTAATTGCCCGTTGTCTGAGATTTGGGTGAGTAAGGGTTACTGTAGGGTGTACCATGCCACACACTGCACATGAGCTCAGTTCCTGACGGATGTCAGCACATTCATCATTAGTCAGCAGGATGTGCTGAAAGGAATCCAGGATACTTATTCACAGGACAAGGGCATCGCTGGCCAGGCGGCATTTATTGCCCATCCCTAATTACCCAGAGGGCAGTTAAAAATCAACCACATTGCTGTGGGTGTGGAGTCACATGTAGGCCAGACTGGGTAAGAATGGCAGTTTCCTTCCCTAAAGGACACTAGTGAACCAGATGGGTATTTTCCTGACAATCAACAATGGTTTAACAGTCCAGCGATAATACCACTCGGCCATCGCCTCCCCCTTGAACTGTTAACATAAAGGTGAGATCTGACCTGGATATGGAGCTGAGAGAACAGGAGCATCCACCTCCTGGTTCCACATTAACACAGCAGGTTACAACTGCCTTATCGTCTCCCACTCAGCTGGTCTCTCAACCACTGGATTCACCTGTATCCTTTCAGCATGGCCTCTGGAGACATGGCTGGATCCCACTGTTTGCCAGTGAGACCAATGGACCAATTTCCCATGGACCAGTTTCCAGTGGACCAGTTTCCAGTGGACCAGTTTCCAGTGGTCCAGTTTCCAGTTGACCAGTTTCTCGTGGACCAGTTTCCCGTTGATCAGTTTCCCGTGGATCAGTTTCCAGTGAACCAGTTTCCAGTGGTCCAGTTTCCAGTGGATCAGTTTCCAGTGGACCAGTTTCCCGTGGACCAGTTTCCAGTGGTCCAGTTTCCCGTGGACCAGTTTCCCGTGAACCAGTTTCCAGTGGTCCAGTTTCCAGTGGACCAGTTTCCCGTGGTCCAGTTTCCAGTGGTCCTATCATCACTTTGTTGAGTGTGAGCAGGAGTCACACACCTGGATCAAAAACCCACATCCCCACACAATGCAACCTGTGGGATTGTGGGACTGCCAGATACCATAGACGTTGACTTTAGTGAATTAACCATTCAGAAAATTTCAGCCGAAATGTCATAACTGATTAGTTATGAATTTGAATCTAGAAATAAAATTCTGAGTTCAGTAAAAAAAGAAGTGGCTGGGAAGCTGACAGATGGATGTTGTTGTTCAGATAGCAATGGTGTGCAGTGATATAGGGAAAAGGTGGGATATTGGCTCTAGGTAATAGACTCAGTGCAAGTATGATGGGCTAAGTGGTCTCTTTATTGTCATAGAGCTTTACAGCATGGAAGCAGACCCTTCAGTCCAACTCATCCATGCTGACCAGATATCCTAAATTAATCTAGCCCCATTTGCCAACATTTGGCCCATATCCCTCTAAACCCTTCCTATTCATGGACCCATCCAGATGCCTTTTAAATGTAGTAATTGTACTAGGCTCCACCACTTCAGCTGGCAGTTTGTTCCATTTAAATACCACCCTCTGCATGAAAATGTTTCTCCAACCTTTCCTTTTATATCTTTCCCCTCTTGCCTTAAACCTATGCCTTCTAGTTTTGGACTCCCCTACCCTGGATTCAGCCTATTCATGCCCCCACATGGTTTTATAAACCTCTATAAGATCACCCCTCAGCCTCCAACACTCTAGGGAAAGTAACTCCAGCCTATTCAGCCTCTCCCTATAGCTCAAACCCTCCAGCCCTGGCAACATCCTTGTAAATCTTTTCTGAACCCTTTTAAGTTTTACAACATCTTTCCTACGGCAGGGAGACCAGAATTGACGCAGGATTCCAAATGTGGCCTAACCAATGTCCTGTACAGCCGCAACATGACCTCCCAACTCCTATACTCAATGCACTGACCAATAAAGGCAAGTGTACCAAACGCCTTCTTCACTATCCTGTCTACCTGTGATTCTACTCCTTCTGCATCATGATAACTCTGTGACCTTACCACACACTGAATGCAGTAATTTTAAAAATAGGCAGCTTCCCAGCTCCTATTCAAAGACTAGCAAGGGTTATTGATAGCCCTTCTGAAGAATGGTCACTGGACCCGAAATGTTCACTCTGATTTCTCTCCACCGACGCTGCCAGAGTTTTTCCAGTGATTTCTGTTTTTTTGCTTTTGTTTGTAATAATTGCTAGCCTCGTCAGTGTTGCCCGCATCCCGAAAATGAATGACAAAGAACTTGGGTGCATTCCAGTGTCGAAGTAGGTCATTGACAATGCAGTTAAAGTTTGGGAATTTAATAGGCTCATGCCATAGGGTGATGGAGCATAGATCCTGTTGTGTGGTTGTCTGAGGTAACTGTATGAGGCTCCCATTACAAACTGGTGGAGAAGACCACTCAGGTTGTGCTTCACAAGGAAACTTGTGTAAGAGACGTACCCTCGATGAGCCATGGGAGAAGCACCTTGAGAAGCAGGCTGTCTGATCTCATTAAATGGTGGAACAGAGACTGAATGGTGGATTCCTCTTTGCTCACGGGCCAAGCTAAACTTCTTGCTGATGAGAAAAGAGCAGAAAGTAATGAAAGTCACTGATTCATTGACCCAGAGTCACATCTGATTCTGGCCTGTGTCCAGTTCAAAAAAAACCACAAAATCATTGAGCTAATCAGCCAGTTAAACCCTTTGGAATGATTAGAGGATGATTCATTTCTGTGAGAACTGACTGACTCCACTTCCTTTACTCCTTAAAAGATTCTCTTCCCCTTTATACTATCTTGCCCTATTCTTAAACTGTACAATAACCAACTCATGATCAACAGAATGATCAACTAATGCTCAGTAAATTCTACTAACTTCAGATTGAGGCAGATTGAATTGGATGATCAGTTGTTTAAGATTCTCTTCTCAACTCCCAATATAACCATCCCCTCAATTAGCTAAGAAGGTCAGATTATTAATCTCTATAACTCCTCATTGCCACTGGCTGTGAGGAAATGTATAGCATTAAGGCATACTTAGGAGGCACTATCATTTTCCTCATGCTTCCTTGCTCTAATTAATATAAGACCTCCAGCTTCCTAATAATTCTGTTCCTAACAGG